ATAAAGTTAAAAAAAAATTCCAACTTCTTAAATCAGAATCAGAAAAACTTTATTGCCAAGTGAGCTTGCACACATAAGGAATTCGGCGTGGTGAATGAGACTGGTACACACCAATAACAAGACAAGAATAAATATAGAAATCTAGATCTAAGAAATTCTAAATAAAATATGAAGAAGAAGTATTAAAGTACTACGTAAATGAAAGTACTATGAAAAGAGACGTAAACCAAGTCATAAATTAGGAAACAGTTTAAATTACTATACAATATTGCACCTGAAGTTGAGGAATTGGAGTGCAACAGGAGTCTTTAGTGGTTTACTGACTGTTTATGAGGTCTATGGCCTGAGGGAAGAAGCTACTCCGGTGCCGGGATGTTCTGATGCTTAGAGACCTGAAGCGCCGGCCGGAGGGTAGCAGGTCAAAGAGGTGACGACCTGGGTGGAAGGGGTCCCTGAGGGGTTTTTTCCTGCCCTTTTCCTCACTCTGTAGGAGTACAGGTCCTGGAGGGAGGGCAGGGGGGCACCGATGATCCTCTCAGCAGTCCTGACTGTCCATTGCAGTCTCCTTATGTCCAATTTGGTAATATGAATGTATCATGGTTTCTTTCCTCCTCCGTGACAGTAAACTCTTTGTGGGAGTGGAAGAACAAAAACATTTAATAAAATATATTATTTGACATTTGATTAACCAAATACGAATCAATGAATCCAGAAAATAATGAACAGACAATGAACTGACAATGAAAATAGTTGTAAGCTACAGTCCTATAGGATGTGTAAGTAGAGCAAAACTGCTGCAGTGTATTAGCTTTAAATATTATTGTTGACGTTTTTCAATTGTTTATTAGCACATTTTCTGAATTCTGTGCAATTGCATTTATTTAAATTATTTTTTACTTTAAATTGTTAAATTGTTTCAACGTCATCATAAAAGAAATTCACTGAAATCAATTTTTTTGTGCTTTTCATGAATTCATCAAATTAAAAAGACAGAAGTCTTGTCTCAAAGTCTGCTTACTTGCTTTTCTCAGACCTTGCATCTGCATCTCACTCCAACTATCCACTGAAAAGAGATGCCCCTGAAAGCTTTTGTGGAAATAAAATTGATTTTTTTTGTTGGAACATTAAACTGAAACCGATGTCTTATCTGATTTTTTCGATACTAAAATGGTTCAAAACTATCAAACAATCAAAACCAGTTCTAGTTTTTGGCATATTCATTGAAATTTGTTAAAATTATCTTCATATTGTGTAACAGTTTTAAAAGCTGCTGCATCTCTCCATAACAAAACACTGAGACATACAGCATATTAACCTACTGTGTGTGTGCTGTCATATTTTTACTGTGTTCCGTGTTCAGGCTGCTCTGACACATCCTGTGGAAGTTGGAGACGTTGCTGAATTCCTCAGAGTCTTTGCGACAAATACGGCAACGAGCCACAACACGTCAACAGGGACCACATATCTCAGAGAGTCAGTCCACCTCTAAACGTGAACCTAACATGTTCTGACATGGGAAACACACACACACACACACACACACAATGCCATACAATGTACGGATGCACAATATTCTCCCGGTGCCCCCCAATCCTCTTGTCTCTCATCTATCTCTGTTCCTCTAACTTGCCAGAGGGAAGGAATTCTCCTGTAACACACCTGGTGTCAAACAGGGATGATGAGGCACTCCAGACTGCTTGCTTCACACCCCGCAATGACGTCTGCAGTGAATGGATATTTCAACAAAATAAGGTTTGTTTGCAAATGGAACAATGCCTCTGTGTACTGAGAAAAAAAAATGTTTTCACCATGTCTGTTTCCAATGAGAAGTTACACTGACACACCTGGGAAAGGTTGCTTTAAACGCTGCTGTGGACAGTAATCAGAAATCCTTTCCCAGAAAAATGGAGGATGTATTAAAGCATAGCCCAAGCTGAAAAAAGTTTAGTTAAATGTGATCACCAATTTCAACAGACTGATAAAACTGGAAAGCATTTTGGAGGGTACGTCAAAAAGTTCTTGGTCTCACTCAGACAAGAGGTGTAACTCCCGATTTGATGCATATCTGATAAAGCTTTATATCACTGTCTACAAAATCTCCAAACACATCTTCACTCATAGCTCCTCCAGCAAGCGTCCTCGATTAAGAATTGAGATATCTTTCAAGGGCGGCGTGGTAGCCCGGTGGTTAGCACTGTCGCCTCACAGCTGGAAGATCCCTGGTTCATGTCTCTGGGCGGATGTTCTCCCTGTGCAGTGTTGGTTCTCACCGGGTTCTCTGGCTTCCTCCCACAGTCCAAAGACATTCTGAGGTTAATTGGTGATTCTAAATTTTCTGTAGGTGTGAGTGTGCTTGGTCCATAGGCTCCCATAGCTGGTTGTGAGTTGAGCAGGTGATGTGGAACAAAGAGTGGGACAAGCATGCTTGGTAATAATAAAGGATGCATTAGTGTGGAGCTGGGTGAGGCTGGCAGGTAGCAAATCATGTACCTGAAGCAAAGGATCACTCATTACTGAAGAGGTCAAACAACTCAACTGAGCTGAGTTGTGTTAGTACCTGTTGGTTAACTGAACAACCTGACAGAGAACGGAGGGCAGACAGCATATATGCTGCAGGTTTTTTTTTTATCGGCATATAAATCTCAGGTATGCAGGCGAATTGGTAGCAGCAGGGGAACAGAGCGTCACGCCCCGACGAACACACACAAACAGAGAGAGAGGACAAGACATGAAAGAGAAGAAAAACAGCAGAAACACCAGAGGCAGAAACAAGTCAGTGTTTGGGCTGTAGGTTTTGAGACGTTGGAATCATGTTGATTTTTCAGTTATCAGCAGGAAAAACTCACTTTTTACTACATAGGTACAGAAAAAGCCTCTGCTGCCTATTCTGAGCCAAGAAATGTGAAGAAACCCCAAGTTTCATGTGATAAATGTACAACCCAGCTGTTAGAAGCACGCATAGTTAGCATTAATTAGCACAGTCGCATACAGTATATGGACAATATTAAATAAAAATTTAATTTAAGGATAAATTCAGATTTCAAAAAACACATTTCCTACATCAGGGGATCTCAATAAAGATAAATAAAGGGTTCTCTTTAAAAGCAGACGAAAGTTGAGCTCATGCATCTGCTGGTTTCTTCAGGCTTAAGTTATTAACAAGAAACTGTGAACTAGCAGCAATGTCAAATTAAAACTTTAATCATTTTTTGTCATCTCGCCCAGCTCTAGTTATAATGTAGCAGCATTCATGCAGGCGCAGCCACACATGTGAGCGCTGCAAGGAAATGTGTGTGATCTTGATGTTAAAGTCTTTGCTGCACCACAGTGAGTCATTCTAAGTGGTCCGCTACTTTCATTTCTCTACAGAAGACTGGGACCTCAGTGTTGTGTACGGTCATGCTCCTGCCCCACGCTGCAGATATTTGCTTAGTTAGTTTCTCTCATTATTTTGTCATAGAATGTTTTTTTGTGTTTTTCTGAATAACATTCACAGCTATCTCAAGGCCCCCCCTGGCAGCTCTCTGTGGCCCCCTAGTGGACCATAGGGCCCCTGTTGAAAACCACTGTCCTATGTCACATTAACAAAAAGGTAGTCGCAATTAGCATAGCTTGTTAATATTATTGTCTTTGCCTGGTTAAATAAAGGTTAAATAAATAAATAAATAAATAAATAATAGCTTATTAGATAGCTAGATATTTAGCGAAAGTTAGTATTTTATGTAGCTAATTTTAGCAAAAATTGGTTTGCTAATATCTGCTGGTGATTTTATTATTTTATTTGGTGAAAATATTCATATTTCAGATAGTGCTTGGCTGATATGGACAGATTGGACTGCTTTAGGAGGTTATTGGGAACGATGAATACATTATTACATTTTTAAAATTCAAACTGTCTACGGTCGGACTGCAAGGTGACTCAGTGGTTAGCACTGTTGCCTCGCAGCAAGAAGGTCGCCAGTTCGCGTCCTGGTGAACACAACCGGGATCTTTCTGCGTGGAGTTTGCATGTTCTCCCCGTGCATCGTGGGTTCTCTCCAGGTTCACCGGCTTCCTCCCACACAGTCCAAAAATATGTTGAGGTTAATTGGTGATTCTAAACTGTCCGTAGGTGTGAATGTGGGTGTGCTTGGTTGATAGTGGATAGTGGTAGATAATGGATGGATGGATGTTCTGCGGTCCTGTTGCAGCCTAGATGATTTATGCCAACAATGAGGTGACGATAACACAGAGAAAGAGATGTCTCCCCGTATGGTTGGATGCTGAAGGGTACCATAAACAACACAGAGACGGGAGAAGGAAATCACAGTATCCATGAACCTACTGGAGGTTCACATTCATTCATTTATTCACATTCATGTATTTTACCTGATAATACAATGAGTTTAAACGATAGAGATAGATTCAACATGACCTTCTTAGCTTATAAAGAATGTATCAAACACAAAATTTTCTTTAAAAAAATGTATTTAGAGGCATGCTTTTTTTGTTGTTGTTGCTGAACCTATTCATCCTTATTGATGCAGCGCTGTGCACTTTAAGGAGATTTTTTTCCCTGAGTGTATTTCCCCCAGCAGCCTTTCATGCAGGAACAACCTGAGCATTGTAGGATGGAATCACTGTGAAGGAGCTGACCATGACGATCTCCAATATCTTAAGCGTATCCAACCTCAGCCTCACACTTTGGTTTTGCGTGCAGACTTTAAGAAAACTTAATAAAATTCCTACCTACAAAGGTCATGGCACAGGAAGCTGACTTGACGCATTATGTAGTGTATTGCAGTGTTACTGTTCACTGTACAATTAAAAATTATCAGTACAAACATGATTTCATAACTTCAAGGTGACCTTTGAATGAAAAGCATTATCAGTTGTATTAAACTAATATCAACACAGTTCTGTCCAGCCCAGAATGTAAACAGTGATGATTGCATTAAAACACAGGTGGTGCAAGTACAGCGTCCAGTTGCCTCAGCTAAGTCGACAGTTCAACAGCCACGATGGCGATGCCTGCTCTCCTCTCTGCAGCCCTGATGCTGCTGCTGCTTCCTGGGACTCTGACTCAAGGTAGGCTTCAGAACAATTCAGTAAACTTTATTTGATGTGATTTTCAATAGTAACAATACACGTTGTTCTTTGTCATCACCATTTAGACAGCAAACCAGCTCCCATTGGCGTGATCGTGGAGAACACTTTAGGGAACCCCGCTACGTTGACCTACACCACTCAGGTGGCTCCCAGAGGGATCCTGCTGGCTGCACTGAACAGACTCATGGCCACCAATTCAAAGTTCACGTAAGATCATAGCAC